GGCAAGCGCAAGGTCGTGAGTTCGGTTCCCGGTACCAGAGAAAAACCAAAAAAAAAAAAAAAGAAATTTTATTAAATTCTCTAATTTATGGGAATGAACAGCAATACAATAAAAAGCCGATGTCAGTAAAAACTTGAATGTGCTAATAATGTGTGTACATACACACACACGCACATAAGTGTGCATAATTTGGGGGGGATCTTTGTGTGTGAGGGTGATAAGAATTTACATGGCAGAGGGGGCTGACTAGGGAGGACTTTTGAATCTTACTAGGATTCTGCTATTTGCAAAGGAACTAATTTTCACATAAGTTATAGTGCTTTATATAAATGATTACTTCCTTTGTTCTAAGCATTTACGATAATCCTAGGAAGGAAGCTTTGTTCCTAATTTAAAGTGAAGAAATTGGAGTTCAGAAAGTTTAGCAGTGCCTGAGGTTACAGAGCCAGTAACAGAAGACTGCTCTTTGCAATTTGAAAGCCACTATCCAATGTGCTGAGTTAGAATCAGCTTTCAGAGTGAGTTATCTGGAGCTGTGGGTCAAGAAATCTGCGTAAGAAAACACAAGCATCTAAAGGAGAACTTTTTTCAGCATCCTGTTCTCCAGTCTGCATGTTTATATCTACATCTGACTTTTTTTTCCTTTCTGTTAAAGAAAGGCTCTTCAAGCATTCAATTATATCTGCTTATCTCTTGCATCTTTAGCTAGTGTTTCTGGCCCTCTTTCATTCATTACTAGCTTCTTCTCATTAGCAGAAACCAGCCCTTCTCCAAAGTAAATATCTTCTATATGAGTGAGTAATTGCTGCATAACAAACCACTCTAACGTTGGTGGAGTAAACTGAGTACCATTTATATCATTCCCTGTGCTAGGTTGGGCTCAACTGGCCTCAGTTATGCATTTATAATCAGCTAGATAGCTTTGTTTCTGGGGCATTAGCTGGCCGGTGGCCAGGACCCTAAGGTCACTGGAGCCATGTGTCTTTCTTTCATCTTCCAGCAGACTAGCTCATACTTGTCCACATGGTCATTGAAAGGGTTTGAAGAAAGAGAAGGCTACAAAACAGTGTGTGGTTTCTAGGCTTGGAGCTCTGATAATATCCTTTGCCCTGCCTTCTGTCAGCCAAAGTGTGTCACAGTGTTGAAGAGGTGAAGAATAGGACTGTGAACCATGCAATGCTTCCTTGTAGCGAAACTGGGTTAAACCTTGAAGACCATAGTCCTGTCCTTGGCCAGAATTGTATGCTTATGCTCTGGGTCCCTCTCACTGTACGGAGATCATTACATGGCAATTGTTGGCTCACTTCTTAGTGGAAAGTAAGCTCCTTAAAAACAAGGACTGTGTTGCAATCAAGGATTTGCTATACAGGTAACTTTTGAAAACTGAAATTCTTGAGTAATTAAAAACTTAGAAAGCTGATGTCTGGTAGTGTGGAAGTTGAGGTAGAACATAATTATGCTTGGATCTTAAAATGTACTTCTTGACATTTTGACTATTTCTTCTGAAAAATGAAAGGGATAAAGAATTTGGACAGGATTTTGAGTAGAAATTATTCAGTGTTTTCACACTATCTTTGCAGGTTTTTCATAGATTATGAGCTTTTAAAATTTATTTATTAAATGAGGAAGACACATCTTAATTTCATCATGCATTTGTCAGAAAACATACCCCATCCTTTAACTAATTCTTTGGGATTTGGGGTAAAATTTCTATTTCAGAATGGAAGATGGAAGATGTGACAGCCAGCATCCTGTGTATTACTCTAGAAGTCAGTGAAAATAAATACTTCTGTTAGAATGGGGACAGGAATATACCTCATGTGAGCTCATCTTTAAGTGAATGTCTTATCAATGTACTGACCCTTAACTGATGGATTTTTTTACATGTGTTATATCTTTTAGATTCACCTTCTTGAATTCCCTAAAACCTGACCACGTTCCCATCACTGGGCTGTTTTCCTGCTATCTGACCATGCAGCGGAGATCAAGAGGAATTAATACTGGGCTCCTCCTGCTCTTTTCTCAAATCTTGCATGTTGGGATCAACAATATTCCACCTGTCACCCTTGTAACTTTGGCTGTCAATATCTGGTTCTTCTTGAACCCTCTGAAGTCCCTGCGTAACTCCTGCCTTAGTGTGGAGAAGTGTTACCAGCAAAAAGACTGGCAGCGCTTGTTGCTTTCTCCCCTTCACCACGCTGATGATCGGCATTTGTATTTTAATATGGCATCCATGTTGTGGAAGGGAATACGTCTGGAGAGAAGGCTGGGAAGCAGATGGTTCGCCTATGTCCTCACTACATTCGTCCTGCTCACTGGGGTGGTTTATTTGCTCTTGCAATTGGCTTGTGCCGAATTTATGGATGAGCCTGTCTTCCTAAGGAACTGTGCTGTAGGTTTCTCAGGTAAGGAAGATATAGTCCTGATGTAGGGTGCATGAAGGCAGTCAGGGAGATGTGGGGGATGCCTGGTGAGTATGAGAACGGAATTCCTGAGTGGTGAAAGGCTTCTAGGACCTGCATCTGGATGAGCAAGCTGAGCAGAGCACAAAGGGGGCATCACTTCTGTTGTCCCATACCGTACTGTTGCATTCACTCTTGGGCAGTCTGAGGGCCTGCTGAGTGATGGTTTCATAGGACATGTAGCATTAGAAGCACACACGGGCCCATCATGGTAGAGCCATGGAGGGACCCTTGAGGGTATTTGTAATAAAATGTTTTCAAAAAACATGGGAATACCTATGAAGCACATTGACAGTGTACCAGTTACCAACTTGTCTGAACCTAGGGACTCAACACATTCATATGCAACAAGTTACACAAACCAGATTTGTTACCTTACATGTAGGCAGCAACAGACAGCGGGAGTCTAGAATTGATTGTGCACCATCCCTACGGCAAATGGAATCTCAGCTGTGCAGGCCACATTTATGCTACAGATGAGGAACCCTAAGAGGCAGCCTCGGCTATACATGTAGATGATATGCCTGAGGTTCATATGAGATACTGAGCAAAGCTTTGAAGGATGTCCTTTTGTAGAGGGGGCTAGAACACTGCCTAGGCTGATCTGGCGAACTCTTTGTCTTAAGATTTTGAATTTAGCACATTCTAGGACTACTATCAAGAAAGGGGGACCACTGGATCAGTCCATGGCCACCTACTACTTCTGGATTTCAGTAATTTTATTAGAATAAATGCACCATGTACCTCATGTTAGTAGAGCCGTGATAGTCACTCTGTGTCCTCTTTAATTCAGACAGCAGATCCATAGGGAGGTGGCACCATTTTGATACTTTAGATGAGAAACCTAAGACAGAAAACAAGCTCCGTGTTACACAGTTAGTAAGTAGTAGAGCTGAGATTTGAACACAACCTGTCTGACTTTAACTATGTGATGCATTGCTTTGTACCTTTCCTCCTCGCTAATTCTTTTTATACAGGTAATTCACAGGACTGCAATGGCCATTAGGACTAAAGTTAGGTGTTCTAAATATTAGTATGGGAAGAGGAGGAGGGAAATAATATTGAAAAGAAAATTGAATCCCCTGTTTTCCTGGCCATCCTACACCCATTCCCTCAAATATATACTTATGCATCTATGCATCTAATTTGGAAGAAGAAAGAAAAGATGTCCAGCCTCCATCATGTCTCTCCAGAGGTTAGAAAAATACATGTTACTGGAATTTTCAAATTGCATTAGAATTTAGAAAGCATGAATTTAACTGCTTTAAAGTGTACAGTTCAGCGGCATGTAAAACCATTGCTGGTGTCCCATTTTTGTGTTATATACATTATTAGACCCCGTATAAACTTCCGGGTTAAGTAACATCAAAGGATGTTTGCCTCGAGCATAATGGCCTTTGTAACAAATGCTAAGTTGTAAGAAGTAGAGTACAGTTTCCAAGTAAAAAGTTGAAATATTCATTTGAGCAATTTGTTTGTAAATGTTGATTCTCTCCACATTTGTATTGTTGATATTAGAGTGTTCTTTATTCTCTTCTAGGAGTTTTGTTTGCCTTGAAAGTTCTTAACAATCATTATTGCCCTGGAGGCTTTGTCAACGTTTTGGGCTTTCCTGTACCCAACAAACTTGCTTGTTGGGCAGAACTGTTGGCTATTCATTTCCTCTCACCAGGGTAAGTGTTTACTCCTAGGCAATAAAAATGAAAAATTTAATGTTCCATGGAGAAAGAATTGCAGTATAATGGGGTAACAAATCATTTTTTAATAATGAAATTTATTAAATGTAGAGATAGAATTTAGTGATTTTAATATCAGTCATTTTTGGCTTTCAATCTTGCCAATTATTGAGTTGTGTAATTTTGGGGTATGTGTCTTAGCTGAATTTTCAGTTTCTTTGCCATTTAAGTAGGAATAAAAGAACCTAAGTATACAGAGTTGGGTACACAATCTAATATACAATAGTTCTAATATTCCAACAAAGCACATAGAAACCATGTAAAGATTTTTAAAGAGCACAAAGTGTGTTAGTCTAATGCTTTTAAGACATTTTAGCTATGAATTACCGTGATAATAGAACTCTTGGATCAACTCTGAATTGTTTTGAGTTGAGAGGAAATACAGGGCATGGTTCCCTTTGCCTTTACATCCTTATTGCTGTAGTCACCCCCAAGGCACCTGCATGAAACCATAGGGCTTTGAGCATTCAGCTTCAGCTCTGTGATTTAGATGAGTCCTTTCCTGTACACATGAGGACATGGAGACTCAGAATTTTAGAGGCTCATCCACTGGCTTGTGGGAGACCTTAGACCAGTTGAGATTCAGGCCTCCTGACTCCTGACCTAGTGTCCAGTCATGCTGTACTTTTTCCCTCTGGTTCTTTTCTTTGCTTTCTGTTTAGAAAAAGGATGGATTTGTCCACCTTTTCCACCAGCTTTACTGCACTTAATCTGTGTTATGCAATTAGAAACACATGGTTGTTTGTTTATTATGACTGTGGGTGGAGACGGATGAGATTTTAGGAGGATTCAGAAAGAAGTATAAGGATTTTTTTTTCCTCCTTGAGACAGGAGTTTTTTATTTTGCTGTTGATTTGTGTAACTGTGTTGGGTGTTGTACCTCATTTGAGAGTATTCTTGTTGTGCTGTGTGTCAGCCCAATAACCTGAGTCCTTCTTTAATGCTAATTTCCCATCATGGGCAGCCATTGGCAGCTGGTCCATAAATGGCGGTGATGTGGCATTGAACACTACTCATTTACAATTGTATTGTTACTGGTGACAGTTCAACTAAGAAAGCCTAACAAAATCTTCAAAGTTTTCTTTGAAAAAGTGTCCAATAATGTCTGTCTCTTATCTGAACAGCCCTCTCTATACCTTGTCACTCACAGCTCCCCTGACTTGCTTGATGTGACTCGGTTCTCTATGTAGACTATAGGCTCTTGTATGTGCCTGGCAACACCCAACATTCATATGAAAATCACTCCCTCTGGTACTTGAACTTTTATCCTATAATGAGTCTGCTGAATAACAGTGTCTTAAATATTCTCATGCAACTATTTCTGAAGATCTCATCATTTTTTTTGAGTGTCCTCTCTTTGCATGGAAAAAGCATGGTTACATTTTTGTGTAGTATGCTTATTCTGTGCAGAGAGAGGTACCTCATATTTTGAGCCTGGGAATTAAGTAAAATTTCCTGTCTTTGAAGTTTGAAAGAATAAATCTTTTCTTTTTTTTTTTTTTAAGATTTGACTGCTTTGAATGATAAACTTCTAGTATCCAAGCATCTATTTATGCATGTGTCCAAATAAAGAATGAGCTAAACGCTGGTCCAAGGGACCTTAAAAGTGAGTGCTTCTTTGAGATGGATCTTGGAAGAAAGGGGGAAACTAGGGCTCTCATTGTATTGTTATTCTCCTGGTGGTTGTCAATTAGAATTTTCATTGGGGAAACACTGTAAATCTTTAGAACAAAGCTTGCTTTTTTTGTAGAACTATATGGGGGTGCCTTGTGGGGGAAAAATCTGCCAAACCAAACATTTGGTGGACCTCTGTGTTTAGTGAAAGCCGCGGAATTGGTAATTCCCCCAGTTAGGGAGGTGTGTGAAGGAAAGCCAGCACGGAGCAGGCAGCCATTGGGCACTGTGAGGGGTGTGGACCTGACCCCTCGAGAGTGACATCATTGCACCCCTTTGGTTATGTGGTGCTTTTCCTTCTCCCAGTCCCAGGGTGTCCTTGTGTCTGTGACTGCTCAGCCTCATTTGGCTTTTCAGTTCCTGTCACGTCCTAAAACCCCATTAGGTGATTGTGTTTGAAGGCGTCCCTGCTCTAGGAGGGCCCCTGAGCGGCTGGGGAGGGAGGTGTGCCAGCCCCTGGAAGAGGCCACCTTCTTCACAGGTTCGGCTTTTGTCCCTTCTCGCCTGTCACCCCACCAGCATCCTGTTAATGGGTAGAAGGTGGTTCTGAGGCCAAGTTTTATTTTCTAGCTCCAATTATGAACCTCTGAAATCTTTCCATATGCACCTTAGGCCAGCTAGGCAGAAAACTGAAGCTTGGAGAAATGATTGCCACTCAGAGGAAGTCGGTCGATGAGTGACCACAACTATGAGAGGGACCAGGGCTCACTACCTGGGGCAGCTCAGGCAAATCATACAGTCTCTCTGAGCCTCATTTTCCTAGAAAATGGGAGTATCACTTAGCTTCCCTGCTTAGTAAGTCAATTTTAAGGCACCAAATATGTAACTCATAGCAAAGTGCCTTCTAAATGAAAAAAAAAGTTCGTAACCCTTTTAATTTTCAAATAAATCACTGGAAATGTACACTCTCCCTGAAAGTAAACATACTGAATTTCTTTCTAACATGAATAAAATAAGTCAGTTGTTACTTAATTTTGTTTGCTTCAGTTCTACTCCACACCCCCTTTGCTTCCTGTGTGATTTTCCGTGTGCATGACAGCATTCTAAAAATGCTCCAAGCCAATAACAAACGCTAATTAAGCGGAGCATAACTGCATTTGGACCCTGGGTGATTATTTGGAATAATATTTCAGTCCTGAGAACATTAACCCCTTGGCTTTGGATACAGTTTCATTGCTAATGTTTGACAAGAGTAATTACTTTGACCCTACTGAAAATTCCATAGTTAGATTAAGCAAATGAGAGTAAAACACAGTTATGTGTTTTTTACTTATTTTCATTTTTTATTATAAAAAATTTCAAACATAAAATTTGTTAAACCCTTTGAAAGTGAGTTGCAAATGTTATTATTACTTTATCACTGAAAATGTCAACATGCATCTCCTAAAATTATATTCTTTCATAAAACTACATTATCTATTGTCATACTAAAGAAAGTTAACAGTAATTTCCTGATGTTGTCTAGTGTCCACATTTGCATTTCCCTAATTCTCAAATGTCTTTTGTAATGTTTTAGGGGTGAAAGAGAACTGGCATCCAAAGTTCACATATTGTATTTGATTTTTATATTGACACAGAGATAAAAATATTTTTTTTTTTTAGTACCAGAAATTGAACTCAGGACCTTGCACTTGCCAGGCAGGCACTGTGCCGCTGAGCTATATCTCCAGCCCCACAGACGTAAAAGTTTTAAACGAGGAAGGAAACTGTAAAACTTACAAAATTTTGGGAGTTATTATTATAAACATTTTGTAGTTCATAAAAGTTACATAACATTAGTTCTCTGGCTCACCTCTGCAGTATTTTTCCCCCATAGGTTATTGCGCCAAGCTCTTGTCTTCTTTATACGAAAATAATTTGTGAATAGCATTTGCATGGAGAGAATGTCCTAGTGGCTCAAAATTAGTTTGTTTTTTTTTTTGTTTAGAGTTTAGAAAATCTTCTTTGATAATTTATTGTGTCAATTTTTAGGATTATTGTCAAATTTTGGAAAGCCTGTGCTAAGGTATTTTCATATACACACCATAAAATCTAAGGGCTTTTCAAATTTTCTTATACTTTGACCAATATCGATTGTGCTTTGAATTTACTTGAATGTTGTCACTGACCTGTAATGACATGATACAAGATTTGTATTTTCTTCACTGATGTCAGTATTTTGTGCTCAGTCAGCAAGTAGTTTAAATGCTTTCCTAAGGTTCTTAGGATTCACTCATATTAATTGCATTACCAGAAATCCGAGATCTTGCTGATTACTTTTGTTCATAGCCTATAATATGATCTGAAGAGTTCCAAAGTTTATCTTTCATAATTCTCAGAAAAGAGAAGAAAATGAGACATTTATAACTGTATATGCTGCCCTACCAAATATGGTCCTGATTGACATCGGTTTAATTTCTGTTTTGACTATGTATTAAAGGGAATTGAGTCCTCTGCTTACAATTTTATGTGCATGGTGGTTGGAAAAATTTTGTAGACCTTGGGTACTGACTCTGGCATGATAATCGTACTGCCAGCCCTGGAGCACTTGAACGCGCTCCCTTGCCTCCTGTCATCTGGGTTGTACAGTGTCCATTGACTACTTCTGGAAGCCATTTCTGCACTGCAGTAATTAGTAATGACTTTACTGCGCCCGGAAATAACTGCAAACCACATAAACATACTCTACTGCACCCAAACTGGATGGATCCTTAGCTCAGCTTCGCTTTAACTGAATCTCAGAAGTGTGACTGTTCCATTGCCCCCAGACATGGGAGTGAAAAAAGGGAAGTTGTAGTAGAAAGAGACAGCAATTTCAGCTGATTGTGGTTAGGATACCTCACTTTCACAAGTTTTAAAGAAAGTGTATGTCTGTGGACACATACTTCAGGAAAGTTCCTGTAACTCTGAAGAAGCCCATGAGAGTGAGGGGTCTGACCCTTATAAGCATGTCAGCAAATCCTCATGAGATTTTGTTGAGAAGGTTGTTGCCATGTGTCTATGGAAAAGCAAAGAGTGAGCTGAATGATTTTGTAGACCAGAGCAATGGAGGGACTGAGGGATAGTGGGTTTTTTTCCAGTCTGAAAACAGCTGTGAGAATGAGATTGGGTAGGCAGAGGAGAGGATAATGGACTTTGTTTTACTGACATGTCTGTGATGGGAGGAAACTGAGGAATGGCAGAAGAGAAGGTCACTGGAGTCAAGGAGGTGTTAAGAGCGTGCAAGTTTAGGGTGTTCACTGATAATCTGCATGGAGCGTTGTAGGAGTTAAGGTGGAGAGGAC